AGTATCTCCTCATAAGTGGCCCGTCTCACTTTAACTTTCATTTCATTGGATAAAGCAAGTCATGCCCTTATATTTAAATTTAATGGGGTAGGGAAGTACAGTACCATCTATGCCCAGAAGGGAGAGAAACAGATACATTTGGTCAACAGGACTAATGACTGCCACAGTTACTTGTCCTCTTATTTATTTATTTATTTTGTCAGGCAAAATAGAATAAATTTTGATTTTGCATAGAAATAGAGATGAGTTTTCATTTCTCCTTTCTTTTCTAACATATAGTAAAATCTACTTGAAATACAGAAGGTAAACTAGCCTTGGTGCTAGAATGGTGCCTCTTTTCTCAGAGGAGAGGTCAGGGGATACTCACCATGTGCTCCTGGCTGCCATAGGACCATGGAAGAGAACAGATCCCAGCCACCATTACATTCTCCCAGAAGCTATCTCACCTTAGTTATCTGCCTACTAATGTCACTGTCTGAAGAAGCCCTAATCATCTTTCCCTGGCTTCCATTCAGAGAGTTAGAGGAATAGTCTCATCCTGACTCACATCTCTGTTTCCCTAAATCACTATCAGAAGTCCAAGCATCTCCAGTAATCCATCATCACAGAGATGTTTATCTCCACTCTGCTCTGCAGTCTCACTCCATCTTCCATTCTGCTGTGTTCTCTCCAATTTACGTGGGCATCAGCTAACTCCCTGCCAGGTATTCCTACTACTCCTTCCTAGTGAATTCACTTTTCTTCTTTCTTAGGTATCTATTTCAGACCCTCTTTCATTTTCTTCTCCAAGGGCTGCCGTATTTCATAGGAAAAATACACAAAATCAGATCAGAAACTACCTTATCTTCTCACCACCTAATCCATTCACAACTGCCTGACTCTGCATCTACATATCCTACCTTCCTCTTGTTAAAACGGATTGTGTCCTCACACAAATATAATGCCAACCCCCCAGGTCCCCTGGAACACAATTTATTTTTCTTTCTTAAGACCATTCTTTGTTAATAATCTATTTTCTCTCCTGTGTTGTCATTTCCCCCCTCTACTAGATGGCTCCAGCAAACAAGCATGCTTTTAGAGCATCCGCTGAAAAAAAATTCCCTTGACCCCATGCTTCCTTCTAGCTCTCACTCCGTTTCCTCTCTCTTTTCCCAGAAAACCCCCTTGAAAGATGTTTTATTACTATAACAATCTTACCTCTCCTTCTCTGCTAAACTTACTTTAATAATGCTTTTGTTTTCTCATGCCACTAACATGATTTTTACCAAGATCAAATGTTAGCAACGATAGTAATAGCTAACACATACAGAAGTGCCTGCTACAGGTAGGCAATGTTCTGAACACTTTATACATGATTCATTTAATCCTCAGTTAACCCTATGAAGATTGTGCCATTAATATCCCTCTTTTAGACATAAAAAAACTCAGCTGTCCATGCCTAATAGATAACTACCAAGATCAAATACTTGTTAGAAGCAACTTAGATTTGAATCCAGCTACTTGAACTTTGGAGTACATACTTTTGGCCACTACACTGTATTACTTTTTAAATGAAGAATTATTTCTCTTCTTTTAATTGAACCTTTCAACAGCATTCGACATGCCTGATTGATCCCTCCATTTTGAAACCTTGTATTCTTTTATCTTCTTCATTCCTTTACATACACGTTTCTTTTTACCTCTTGTGCAGCTCCTTATCAGTCTTCTTGCTGTCTCCCCCATTCCAGATCTAGATTTTGGACTGTTTTCTTCTTCTTCTTTTTCTATTGGTAGAAACCTTTTCCATGGTAATCTTATTCAGTTTGTGGATTTGCATATCATCTGTAGGCTTAGATCACTTAAGACTATCTCTGTAGCCAAAATCCCTCCCCTAAGCTTTATTTTATAAATATTGTTGCCTGATTTACATCTCTGCATGAGGGTCTTTTAAGCTTAACCTGGCCCCAACAGAAGTACAGATCTGGTAACCTCATCCATCTTCTAACAATTTCCTCTTTCCTAGGCCTTCTCTATCCATGAGAACCATCAACTTCTAATTGCTCAGTCCAAGTTTAGGGGTAATTCTTGATTCTTCTTTTCCTCATGACCCACATTCTACCCACTGGTAAATCAAATCAACGCTGCACTGAAATATATCCAAGCTGCTACTTCTCCCCATCTCTGCTGTTGGTAATCTAAGTCTCATCCTTGATCACAGAGACTCCTACACCTCTTCATAACTGGTCTCCACTCTTGCCTTCTTCAGCCCAATCGATAAAGAGCAGCATGAGTAAACTTTTATTTTTTTTGAGATGGCGTTTTGCTCTTGTCACCCAGGCTGGAGTGCAATGGCGTGATCTTGGCTCACCACAACCTCTGCCTCCTGGGTTCAGGCAATTCTCCTGTCTCAGTCTCCTGAGTAGCTGGGATTACAGGCGCATACCACCATGCCCAGCTAATTTTTTGTATTTTTAGTAGAGACGGGGTTTCACCATGTTGACCAGGATGGTCTCGATCTCTTGACCTTGTGATCCACCCGCCTTGGCCTCCCAAAGTGCTGGGATTACAGGCTTGAGCCACCATGCCCAGCCGTAAACTTCTAATAGATAAATGAGGTAACACTATTTCCACCCAAATATTTCCCATGCAGGAAGAATAGAATCCAGTCTCCTTACCATAGCATAACAGTCCCTACATGATCTGCTTATGTTTCTGATGCATTTCCCTCAGACTTTCAATTGTTTAGCGACCCTCCAGCTCCCTGGACATCTTTGCTGCCCCGGGAACATACCCCCACACTTTCCCCTATATCATGGGCTCGTCATTTGCTGCTTCCTTTCTTAGGTCTTCATAGTAGAGGCTTCCTTCTCATTATTCAGCTCATCATCTCTTATCTCCTCAAAGAGAGACCTTTCCTGCAACAGTTCAAAAAATATGCATTCCCTTCCTATAAAATTACTCTCAATCACTTTACTGTACTTTTAGCTTTCTTCAAGGAGCTAAAATCTAACATTGTCTTAATTATTAACTTGGGTGCTTATTATTTGTTTTCTCCTCAGAAATATAAGCTCTTTGAGGGCAGGAACAGATTGTGTCCCCTATTCATCGTTGTGTTTCCAGTACTCAAGACCATGGTTGATGTGTGGCATTCCTCACTTAAAATGTAACCTAATAAAGAAAAGTAAAGAAAGCAGAATATTAACTTGTATGATAAGAAACTACCTTATCTTCTCACCACCTAATCCACTCACACCTACCTGACTCTAAATCTACATATCCTACCTTCCTCTTGTTAAAATGGATTGTGTCCTCACACAAATCTAATGCCAACCCCTCAGCATTCGGCAAATTAAAATGAACAGACTCGTTCCTTTTTTTTTTTTTCATTATACTTTAAGTTCTGGGGTACATGTGCAGATGTGTGCAGGATTGTTACATAGGTAGACACATGCCACGGTGGTTTGCTGCATTCATCCCCATGCCATCTACATTAGGCAATTCTCCTAATGTTATCCCTCCCCAATCCTCCCACCCTCTGCTGTCCCTCCCTTAGCTCCTCCACCCTCCAAGAGGCCTTGGTATGTGATGTTCCCCTCCCTGTGTCCATGTGATGAATGGACTCATTCTTAGCTAAGAAGATATTCCCCAAAAAACAAGAGGATAGGGTCAGAAGTCTGACTCCTATTTTTTAGCTTTCATAGACATAGATTTGTGTTTGAATCAAACACAGAAAATATACCAATTTGTATTTACAGTAGCAGAAATGGTATCTGTCTCTTGAAGGTTCTATTGAGGATTATATGTAAAAGCTGCATGTTACACTTGAGTTTTTTGATTTCACATAGAAGGATAAGAGGTAGATAATATGTGTGATTTGCTTTCTCTTAGAAAAGTCTGAGCAAGCTACTTAGCCTGAGTTATTGCATATTTGGTTTCACTCATCTCAAATGGGAAGATTAATATAAATGCATGATGTGCTGATCTCATTTGCAATGGGTCTCCATATGTTTATGCCATTAAACAACTTATGATCTCCTGCTTTTCCATTTTAACTTCTGTTTTTATAACAATGACAATTTTCAAATTACTGAAAGCATAATCTTTTAACAAATGTTTGATTTTAAGCTGTTTTTAATTTTAGCAGGCAAAAGTTGTATTTTGTTATTTCCCAGTAGGATTAATATTTTGAAGAAGAAATACTGAAAAAAAATAATGAAGATAAATAGAATTTTATCATAATATAGTGAGTGAGGTCCAAAATTTTAATTAACCCAATACACTCAGTAGCCTTATTCAGGGTTGACAAAATGAGTAAGGAAGTCTGACAGCCTATTGGACTGGGTTTACGGGCAATTGGCTGCCAGATACGAATTCACCCAAGTTCATGGTTCCATTTGGTGGCAGTTGCCCTCTCAGGCAAAATTGAAAGGAATGACTTTGGGTTCTGGGACTGGCAAGATCTTCCAGAAAAACGGTGGCAATTTCAAGAATCACTGATTTGTTCATTTTCTGAGAAATTGAGCAGAAGAATACTGAGGATGTGGGTGCCCACCCTCTGCCTCCCCTTCCTGCTTGGTCCTCATGCTCTCCCTTAGAAGAACATAAGCTTTACCAGCAATCACCTGCTTTGAGTACGGGGCTGGGCTCAGTCCCACTGCAGGGTGCCTGGGCCAGAGGTTTATTTTGCTTTGATTAACACATTGAACACAAAGGCATTAAAAAGTCATATGCAAATAAATATGTTTTTGACGGCAGACCATATTGCCTATATATCAGCTCATTCTAATCTAGTCACTAATTGTTCCTGCTTTACCAAGCATTTACTGACAGATATGTTCCTACCACATTTAGAAAAGAAATCAAGTCTGCATTATGGAGTTAACATCATTATATTTCTCGTTTCATGCATGGCAGACCCCTTATAGAGCTATATTTAATGTACTGCTAATTAAAAAGAAGGGTAGGGGGAAGTGTCCAAAGCTTTCTCAGTGTTCTCTTATCTTTTGTTTTTGTTTGTGCAGCTCACCATGTTAAAACGGGAACTTGTGAGGTGGTGGCACTCCACAGATGCTGTAATAAGAACAAGATAGAAGAACGATCACAAACAGTCAAGTGTTCCTGCTTCCCTGGGCAGGTGGCAGGCACCACACGAGCTGCTCCATCATGTGTGGATGGTGGGATTTCTTCCATTGCTTAGTGTGACAGCACAGCCAAGCATGGCTTAGAACTGGAACCCCACTATAATGCTCTCAATGGGGGTCATTCCTGGGTGAATGTACTATAAATAGTATAATAAGTTGAAACTTGAATATTTGGGTGGCATTTTGAAATCTAAAATCCTTTGGAAGGAGGTCTAAAATATTATGCAGTTCTGTTACAAACAGCAGTATAATGAGGTTCCATTAAATTAATGTGCTTCTTATTTTGTTACCATGAAATGTTGATTTCCTGGTGGATGGTGGGAGGTGGAGTATGTGTAAAGTAATTGGAAAAGGAAAGATGAAAATGGATGATTTATATTATGGGTTCTTGAACTCATGGATGTTCTTAACAATTAAAAAAATTAGCACCATATATATGACTGAATATTTAGTTGTGGATAGAATTCACATAAAATATCAACTTTTATGATGATGCAATAACATTAATTCTTTTTTTGAGGGTTCACCAATTATAGTAGCACATAAATCTTTATATGCATTTATTTAATGTTACCATAAATATTAATTTGTTAAGTGCTCATGTTACTATGATATATTGTCTGTAATGAGGTTATAGCACACAGTTAAAAATTTATGATATCTCTGATAAACACCTGCCTGATAATCAGCTTACTCATGGGAGTATTATATTGATTATAAAATGTTGACTCGAAACTGGTCACAGGTCCCTTTTTTTATATGTTTATATAAATTGGTGCATACATGCATTTGCATAGTTCATTTTTAATATGTTAGTTTTCATAAAGCCTATTTTCACATGAAAAATCCTGCAATATTGTGCACATAGTTAACTATACTGTATTCTACACTTAAAGTTTTATTAAAAGGATAGATCTCATGTTAAGAGTTCTGATTACAATAAAATATTTTTTTAAAAAGAAAATTATTTTAGACCATCTTGAAAGGTTTGGTCCTTTTGAACAAAAAGAAAGGCATACCTTAAATAGCAGTATTCCCACTGCTGGGAAGAATCAGTGGCCTTTGTTCCTCTTTAAATGTGCACAAGGGAACTAACAGTCCCAAGTAGAAAACATTGAGTCAATCTTTTTCTCTCTTGTAGCTTCAATAGTGGAACAGAAATGGTGGTGCCATATGCAACCATGTCTAGAGGGAGAGGAATGTAAAGTTCTTCCAGATCGGAAAGGATGGAGCTGTTCCTCTGGGAATAAAGTCAAAACAACTAGGGTAAGTGGACAGCCAGCTTGGGAAAACAGAATGCCTCTAAATTAATAGCAAATGGAGCATGCGCAGTAACCAATTTAAGTGGCAGTTGTAGAATGAGAGTATCGTTTTGCAAGATATGTTTTTCCCATTTTTTCTTAGTTCATTTTTTCATAAAACATTTTTATTTCACTCAGTACAACATCCTCCATAGATTACCATCAACTGTCATATTATCTGATAAGTAAACACTGTTCCTTCATAAAATACTGAGGGTAATGTGAACCTCCTTTCCCCACTGAGGATGTATGTTAAATCTGGGAGGGTGACCCCAATCCTTTATTTTCCTAGTGTATAGTAATTTAAATAAATTCTGAAAAAATTACTTTATATATTACTTTTAATATAATTTTCTAACTGAGTTTCTTTTAGTTTTAAGGAAGTAATTATTTTGATCTCCCCCATTTCTGAATCATTAAATAGTTTTCTAATGGTTAAGGTTTACAATTATTGTAATGGGCTACAGAGGGTCTCAGATTCTCAGGATCAATACAAAAAGAATACTCCTAAGACACTGATATATTTCTGCTTTGCAGTTACTGACCTCTGGGTGATGGGAAAGAACTGAAAAGTAGCTTTGTTCTTTCATTTCCTAATTAGCCACATGGGTATTCCAGACTGGCAGAATTTGAATTCTTTTCTTTATAGAATTAGCAAATGAAGGTTTTGTTTTGTTGTGCTTTTAGGAAAGCATACTATTCATTAGAGTTGAATATTTGAGGAAGAGAACAGAATAATGGTATAAATTGATGTTTTATAAGAAGTAACATGAAACTAGAGACTGCCTAATTTACAATACTACTTGATAGAGCCGACTTTTAAACCTTGTCTGGACATGTACAAGAGGCTTATTTTATAATCTCATCTACATATATAATTTAGTCTGCCAAGTAATGTATTTAATGCGTTGACTGATCAGACATACACAGAAGTGACTAAGTTTCCAATGGCATGAATAAAAACATATTTCATGAGATTATTTTTGACTCTAACCTGTTAGTTAAGTGTCACTCCTTTCCAAAACCCATGGAATGCACAATCAATTAGTTAGGATAATTGTATTAATCAGTGAGGTAGCACATAATTCATATTAATTTGTTAAAAACATTCTGGCAATGTAAATTTTCCTCATAAGCTATTTATAACATGAAAATATTTTCCCTAGCACTATTAATTCTCAGTCCAAAGATTCTGAAACAAATTTTTAAAATTGTGAGCTCTTGATAACCAAATTCTTTGTTTTCATTACTTCAGTGAACAAGGGGAAGCTATAATTTATTGTATACTTAAAACATAATGTCATACACCAAAATGCTTTACATGAATTAGCTCATTTAATCTTCCTAATAGCCCAGTGAAGAAGATAGTATTATTGTCTCCTTTTACAGATGAGTAAACCAAAACTTCCAAAAGTTAGATAACTTCCCAAGAACATACAGCTAATTAATTAGGAAGCCAGGTTTCAAAACATATAGTTCCATTGCAAAACCTAATCTTTTAACCTGTGGTTTGTACTAATAATTTAACTTATTCTTAAATGATAGTGGTAAAAGTTTCCTATAGTTCTTTTCTTATGAGGTTGACCTTTAAAAATATCTCTAACTTTCTGAATCATTGAAATGAAAGGTCAAGACCATGCAATCTAAATTCTCATAGAACAAAATTTTTTAGAAGTGCTGTTTCACTCCCTTTTGGCCTGTTGAACATATTCTCAATGACCCAAACTTAAAATTGAATGTCTGCTTCACAAATTCTTCCTAATGTAATGAAACAAGGTGGATGAGAGACTGAGAACTCGTCAGTAGGGATTTATAGTTATAAGACATTATCCTTTGTATTGAGGATAGCATTTTCTATTTTTCTTTCATCTCCTTTGCCCCAAGGAATAGCTGGTAATGGAGGGCCTTATTTAAGACATTAGAGAGGGTACTCATGCAATAGTAGGTGTTTAGATTTAGTTAATTTTAAGATTCCCTCCAGTTCTAAGAGTCTGTGATTCACATTTTGAAAAGAAAAAATCATCATAGATAAGAGGAGAAAGACTTGAAAGAAGGAGCTTCTTGAGTACAATCAAAGCAAATTCTTACCCTTTTTTTCCTTCACAAGAAAAATGTTGCTTGTAAAAATGGAGCTACTTAGACACATTCAACCAAAGGAACACTATGGCATTGTAAATGGAAAGGCTAAAATGTGTAATTAAGTTTGGCTCACAAAACAATTGGGGCAAATTTCCCTGATGCCACAAATGAAGCAAAAAGTTTTCAAGGTCATCAGGCTATGATTGCTTGGCCATCTCCACTGAAAATAGTGCAAAAAGTATAGGAGACAAGAAAAATTCTTAAAATAGCTCTAGGCATGTGTTACTTTGCCCACAGTGGAAGTGTTGGATAGAGGAAATGTTGAATAGAGCTAGATAGTGGAAGCGTTTTCACCACGCATAAATAGCACTATTTTTGACAACAAATTTGAGTCATTATTTTAATCATTGGTATTACTGTCCATATGCCTGTTTTCAATAAGATGATTGTGATCACCATGAGCCAAAAAGCCACTGAACTCCTGATTTGGCAGGTTACAGCCACAAATGGAAAGCCCAGAAGTTATGTAGGACAAGTTACAAAATAACTCAAGAGCTGTCTTAGCCAAAAGCTATTTGCTTTTCTTATGCAAGATACGTTGGTCTTATGGGATTATCACTGCAAGCAAAATGGCTTGAGAAATAATTAAAATTTGCAATAATGTACACTCTCCCTTATAATGGCCCATAGCCAATCTGGAGTGCTTGGGTAAGCTGGTTAGATAAATAGCAGTCAGCCAGAAAGAGCAATAAGCCTTACATGGCCTCAGCAAAGATGAGTAGCAACTTCCCCGAATTGACTACAAATCAGGGTCTGGGTGATTTCACCGTTTAAGACTAATTTGCAACCTATATTGTAGTTACTACAAATGTAAATTGTAGTCTTCTGTTTTTGTATTGGGTACTGGAAGCTTTTTGGTTCTGACCCACTTCCTATTCGTGCTAACAGGGGGAAAAGGTAAAATATACGGAGTCATTTTTGGAACTTCAGTGTTTTGTTGCATATGTGTTCTTTGCACACCCAAGCATGTAATTTGAAAAGAGTGGAAGATGCAACAGTTGTTTCCCAAACCCCCTTTCTCAGTCTAAAAGTGGAAAACTTATGCTTTCTGTGACATCTATAACCATCTCTCGTATTACTTTTAAGGTTTCCTCAGTTCAACAGAAAGAAAGGAAAAGTCATACAAACCTTTTGATTTCAAACTCACTTTCAAAGATAAATAATAAAGAACTTTGCAAAGAGTCATTAATAAAAGAATAGTCTTTCCACTGTGAAAGAGCACATAATTATATGCTAATTATACAACACAAAAGTAACAGAGGGGCAAGGTGCTGTAGAGCTTGTAAGATATGAGAAAAGAAAATCTTCAACATGGTTTAAATAATCAGAAAAAACAGACTGTGATTGTGTGTGTGTGTGTGTGTTTTGATATTTTTTCTTTGTGGAAGATCTAAAGGAAGTATTATTCTGTTTTTAGAATTTACAGTCCTTGCCCACTGGTATAGACATCAAGCTCCAAAATATAGTGGTCACTGCACAAAATATAGAGCAGTTTTTAATGTTGATTAAAAATGAGGAAAATGAGCTAAGGAAAAATGAGCTTAATTTCATATTATACATGACTTTACGTTGTTGCTAGAAAGATTACCTTTATGAATCATATATCCCAGTATGCATTGACTTTTCATATGCCTAAGAAGACATTTCTGGCTGATTTTTAACTAATTGAAATTCTTTCACTTTGTGCACTTATTTAAAGTGGTTTAAGCAGATAAGATCTCTGTAATTTTTAACTGTTCCTTCAAATATAAATTTATTTTAAAGGTATGCAATGCTTTTATTTTGTTGTGTAATGCAATGAAAATCAAAAGATATTAAGAATTTCCTATGCGTAACATTCTATGCCAGTAGTACTCATATTACAATCAAAACAAAAGCAAATATAGAAACATTACTTAACTCTTACTGTATTCTGGGCACTCTGCTGAGTGCATTGCAGGTATTATCTTATTCAATTTACCCAACCATAGTAGACATTAAAGAGAATATAGAGATGTATGACTTGATCCCAGCCCACAAGAAGTATGCCATTGAATGGAGGAATGAGTGGTGTGCAGTTGCATTATTCTTTTCTGTTTTTCTTCTTGTTTTGGGACAGTCTTCCTTTGTCGCTGAGGCTGGAGTGCAGTGACATGATCTTAGCTTACTGCAACCTCTGCCTCCTGGGTTCAAAGCAGTTCTTGTGCCTTAGCCTCCCAAGTAGCTAGGATTACAGGCATGCACCACCACATCAGCTATCTTTTATTTATTTATTTTTTGTATTTTTATTAGAGATGGGGCTTTGCTATGTTGGCCAGGCTGATCTCTAATTCCTGGCCTCACGTGATCTGTCCACATCAGACTCCCAAAGTGCTGAGATTATAGGCGTGAGCCACCATGCCCAGCTGCATTATTCTTTTCTTTACCCATATGTAGTCTATTGACAATGAAGGTGGGAATCCATGATATAAATATAAGTTAAAAGTAATATTGTAACAATAATAGAATAGCATAAGAATGAGATATTGAGCTAGATTCAATTTCAAGTTTCTCTAACCAAGGTTTATTCTTTGGTTGCATGTGCCAAGAACATTTCTAACTTCCTTTCTACCTACATTTATATGATAGTAATAACTGGCTAATCTCAGAAGATAGATGAGTATTGGGTTTTTAATCCTTTCACTGTAAGGGAGAAAAGAAATAGCATCTTGAGATGGTTTGCTGATTAAAGCCTCATGTTGTACTCTTTGACATACTACTGGATTTCATACCAAAGATCAGTAACTGCTGGGCTGGTGGATCTGAGCAGTGTCCAGGGGTACTAATTCAGACCCAAGGAAATGATGT